GCTAAACAACAAAACAGGCCAATGCTACACCACCACCCCCATCTCCAGGGCGCGACACCCCGACCCTCTGGAAACAAGCCGCACATATCTCATATCTGTATTACCGGGGGTTGGTTTTTAATTTCTCCAACTTCTCCCTCCGTCCTGGGAACCACTATTGGCCCCCTTTTATCCCGGCTGCTTTTATGGCACTATTTACTTAACAATGTCGAAAGCATATTTCTTCTATTTCGTTTTTTTCCTTTAGTGTAATGATAAAAATATATCATTTCTCCGTATTTTTGTCGAGGGCTCAAACACAACATCAATTCAACAAACAGAACAAAACCTCAACCTATAGACAGTCATTAAGCTTTTTTAGCCTAGCTATCTACCCTTACAGTTATATAGCCTTAGTCTAGGTTAAAAAAAGGAAGAAAAGCCACAGTTTGGACGCTCAGGTTTCGTTGTTTTCCAAGACCACCTAAATCATTGGGATCGAATATGAAAAGTGACAAAAGCTCATAATTTTATTTTATTACAAGGCCGTCTTGACCGACATGCCTTCTAGATCTCACGAAACATTCTAGCCGCCGGGGTCACCAATAAATCTGTTTATTACACTTACTTTAATATGTAGGTCGAATTAACATTAACGCACGTCAATTTCAAGCGTCACTAACTCACAAATTATAACCTTCCTACTTGTTGTCCTACGAGTGCTGCTTTGGTCGACATGCCTTCTAAATCTCACGACACATTCTAGTTGCATGAGGCCAGAATAAAGTTATTTTATTATACTTAATATATAGGTCTAATGTTCATTAATGCTCGTTAATTCACTGGTCGCTAGTTAACAAATTATAGCCTCCCCAGTTGTTTTTATAAATACCGTCTCGACCGACATGCCTTCTAGATCTAAAGACAAATTCTACCCGTTGGAACCACCGATAACGTTGATTTTTACACTTTAAGGCCGAAACATGTCTTTTCAAGTCCATAACAACATTACGAAACATGGAGAAATCCCTGTTTCAGAAGTGAAATTTGGCCCTTATCTGTCATTTTGCTTTTTGCCATCTTTAGTCGGTTTGATTAACTGGTCACTAAGTAACGATTTATAACTTCCAAATTGTATTTTTCTTTGGTGCCGGCTAGATCGATATGCCTTCTAGATCTAATGGCAAACTCTATCCCTCGAGGTCACTAATAAGGTAGTTTATTAATACCTAGACGAAAATCAGATCGGTAACGACTAACTTTCGAGTTCATCACCCAAACGGGAAGCATGGAGAAATTTCAGTTTCCGAAGTGCGATTTGGCCGTTATAGGTCATTTTGCTTTGCGCCATCATCAGCCTTGATTTACTCGTTACCAAGTTACTAATTATAAGCTTCCCGTTTGGTTTTGTCTAGATCGACACACACTACTGGCCTAGGTCAACAATAAGGTTATTACATTTTAGTCACGAAACATGTCTGACAAGCCAATCCAGTGCCGATAAATAGATTTGCTTATTATATGTGTTACATTTAGTTGAAAATTATAAGAAAGAGAAAAATAAAGTACTTAAGCACCAACTTTAGGTTATTTTAGCACGTTCAGAGGTTGTCTGTTCGCTTATTTCCTTTGACGTCGTCATTTTACATTTCGCACTCTTCAGTCGTTTCAGTAATTGATCACTAAACATCCAATTATATCCTTCCCAGTTGTTTATTTTACCTGTGACGTTTAGATCGACATACCTTCTAGACCTAATAACAACTTCTATCCTTGACTGTTTATAACTCTTTAATATATAAGGACCTTGTTAATTAATGCACTTAATTAATATGTATAGTTTAATGCACTAGTTGCTAAGTAACAAATTATAAACTTCCTATTTGATTTTTCACCAATGCCTTCTAGATCGCACGGTACATTCGTAACAAGGCCACTTTTTCTTCAGTGCTAATTAGACATGACACCTACATCGACATACATGTAAGCAGGTTTCAGGTTTCCCTTTTTTTAAAGTGATAATTAAATGTGTGCCATAAAAGTGAAATATGATTTCTGCCCTCTGAGATTTTTGTTTTTCTGGAATAGATCTTGTGTTAAGTAACTTGGATAGTTATGCACTCGGTTAAATCATTCTTTGTGTAGTAATTCTTTATTTATTCAGTCCCAATTTTAGCATGCTTTGTGGTGCTTTTGCTTTGACAGTCATTTCCTTCGACACCGTATAATTGCTTTCTTTCAATTTTCCTTGATTGGCTCGCTCTAAAGTGACGTGTCTGGATTTGAAAATCGACGGAGGTATAAATGTAATTCTCGTTTTATGGCCGAAGGATCTTGAAATAGTGGGAAAACTAAATTTGGCTCGTTACCCTTGACTAGAGCACGAGCTCTTCGTGGACAACTAGTCATCTGGTGCAACTCGTTTATCTTCCTTGATGCACACAGAAAACAACCCGATGTTGAAATACTTAACAAATGAAACAATTTTCGTCAGTGCTTGAAAATAAGTAAGATTGCAGTTCTTCAGTTATTAAAGACAAATTCCGTGGTAATCAGACTTAGTCATTACACAATTTTTATAAGCGACTTGAAAGAAGGCTGATATTTTAAAAAAATCATTGCCACAATGGCTTTTGTAGTGCCAACAAATGACGTACGCAATTTAAAAGGGAGACTCTTAAAATAAACCATTTTATAATTGGAAAATGTCAAAGGACTCCCTTTTCTCATACTTAATACACTGAGAAAGGGCTGACATAAATTTCAATTCTGAATTTATATGGTAAATTAACGTCGTCTTCTAACTTTCCATTCAATTTCATGAAATTTCGGTCTTAGCAGAAACAATGGACGATAAACATTTACATCATTTACAAGGCTTTACACTTTAGCTATTAAAAAACTCACTTGTATATAATTGAAAATTGAAAATTTTTCATCTATCCGTACTATCCAAAAAGAACAACACGAACAAAATTTTTATTGCACAATATAATGCAACATTTGCCAAACGCTGCATAGGGTAATTTGGTCGTTAACGGACAGCCTGTGAGATCTAGTAGGCATGTCAATCTCTAAGGCTCCGGTGGGAAAAACCTCGGAAGGTTACAGTTTCTTAGCGGCTAGTTATCTTAATTATAATTGTTTGTCTTAACAAATATCGCATTTATATATTATAGTGTAATAAGAAACCTTTTTGCTGGCCCCAGAGGCTAGTAATGATCAAGATGGCGTGTCGATCTAGAAAGTACCGGCTAAAAATATATAATATATTTATTAGTGCTCGGTGAATTAAACCGACTGAAGATGGCGAAAATGCAGAAACGGACCTAACAGATCAAAATTCACTTCGGATACGCAAAGTGAATTGTACAGACAACTCCGGCGACATTTATTTGAGGAGGAGTTTAGATTAGGCACGGAGGACTTTAGATTAGAAGGACTTAAGAAGGTATGATTTGTTTTTGCCGTCCCACAGCAAAACTAGCCGATGTAAAGGTACCTTGGGCTTTCAAAATTTAACTTACTACCGAAATTATTTTTATAATTCCAATAAATCGAGTTAGCACCAAGGACAATAGAAAATTTAAACCTTCCTTTCCTTGACTAGAAAACCAACTTGAGCAATTTAACTGCAAGTTACAATGAAATCACGTGAGTTGAGGGCGGGCGCAGTGTTGCCCGGCAGTGTTTCTCCGTGACTATAGCCAACACTGATTTTTTTGGCGCCAATCTAAAATTATCATGCTGGAATCATCAATCTCCTTGCGATCTTCAATCTCCAACTTTTCACCTACTACAACCACAACAGCATACCGCCCCAAATCATGCGAAAAGTCTTCAAGGAGCATCAACAGTATTTAAAACACATAATTAACCCTTTCTGGCCCAATGTTACCTCAGAGACCAACTTGAAATTTTTTTTCCAAAGTTAGCGGGCAATCCCGTAATTTTTGATCGGCTTGCTGCGCTTACAGTGTTTTTTAAGGCGTTAAAATGCTCCACCTTGGAATCTTCAATCTCCAACTCACCACTTACTACAACCTCCCCAGCAAAAAAAAACCCTCAGGTCTTCAAAACCTCAACTGTCTTCAATGTAATTTTACAACTAATAATACTTAATTTTTTTTTTTACGAGGGTTCGCAACAGCAGAGGTCATATAAACCCTCAGGGTGCCGGTGTTTTTGAAAAAAAGCCCATTTGTAAGTATGTCGGGTTCGAATGCAGGGCCGCTGGATTCGAACCCGGGACCTTTACCTTACAGTGATGAGCGCCGTGTCAAAGACTAAACCTTGTGGCCACCGACGCCCCCCTACAACTAATAATATTAACTTGTTTTGGTTCAATATAGCCTCAGAGACCAACTTAGGGTAATCTGTTAAAAGTTTGCGGGAAATGCCGTTATTTAGGCCGGTCACAGTGTTTCTCCTGCAGCGTTTTTACCTGTGTATTGGTAACACTGATATTTTTGGCGCCAAACTAAAATTTTCATTTTGCATGCGAGGTGAGGCTGCATGCTTTGAAACGAAAGTACAGGATCGATGTTACACGACGGAATTGCCGAATCGTTCCAGATGGATGGTCGTACGAGATGCATACAGACAGTGTACACATACATACTCTTGCCAATTAAGCTTTTGTGAAAAAATAAGCAACATAAGGTGACAGATGAGGGAAACAAATTTTCTATGCTCCCGGCCGCAAAAATATACAACCATAAAGGCCGTTGTTTGTTTACACGGGATTCGGAGTAACGGAGGGGAACCTCCGAAGATTCCCTATACCGGGTAAGGCCTGAAGGATGAGCTGGTCCGCAAACCGGGAGAATCCCCTTTCGATCTCGTCCCTGGCAGAGTTCCAAACGTTCCAGATATCGCTTTCCTGGTTTCGCGTGATACGGGGGAAGAGGAAAGTTCGAATTTTCCAAGCCTTCTCATCAATAGAGAAATCCTCTAAGGCGAATAATAATCAAACCCACGACAGTATTATAAAATCTTTAATTAAAATTGTCAACACTTACCATTAACTCCTCCTTGCATCGCCTTTCTTCCTCAAGCGACATGCGTTTCTCGTGCTTCTTGAAATATTTCCTTTTGGCTGCCTGAAGATTGAACCATGTATATGAAAAAGACTTAACGTGGGGGAGGAGGGCCTCGATGAACGGATGAAATTCATCCTGGAACAAAACAATAGACGAATGATAAGATCTGTCTTTAACAACCTTCATCAACCTATTTTGTCTGACAAATTTCGAGAACCAAGTCGGAAAAATAAAAACCAACCGAACACAGCTCAAAAGTGTTTTTTTTCCTTTTCAATCCGAATGGGGCGGAATGTGTGATGTTTGTTCTCGGGGGGCTGGGGACGGCGACGGCGACCCCTTGCATAAAAAGGTAGGCGCCCCATGAAACCCCAGCTTTTATAATTGGATTAATTTTGAAAGAGCGACTTGTCCTTCCGAGCGATTTAACCGCTCTCCCGACCCCCAGAACCCTCGTCTTCACCACCCCCTGAGACCAATAAAATATTAGTTACTCTTATAAACAATTCATTTCCTCCACAACTGCGTAGAGCTTTGCCGATAAACCGAGCCATTTTTTATCACTTGGCAATCGAGAAATTAATCGGTCTATTTTTATGATCAACACATTTTTAAACACTGTGATCCCCTTCCGGGACAGCTGGAAAGGAAGTGGAAGGTATTTCCGATGTGACTATCATGCTTATTCTTAATAATAAGATAAGTAATATCTTGTCATCAAACGAAAAATAATCTGTAACTCTATAATAATTATTGGTCGATAAACATCTACGGTTTGTAATAACATTAGCACATATATTCATAATTATATGATTTAACCATTTTCCCCTCTTTTTCCTTGTTTCGGTAACACCGTGGGCAACACTGACTTCTTACACGCACTTAACTGAACAACCTAAACAATCAGTGTTGCTCACAGTGTTGCCCAAATTATGTATGGAGTGAAAACAGCAGTCAACGAGCAGATAATATAAATTATGCCTATATGTTTATATATATGTATATATATATAGCTATTAACTGGGTATGAAACAAACGGCAATTACACAGATAAAGAAAATTAACAAAATACCGAATAGCAAAACCATTCTCAACAATATTTATAATTAATGAGAATGAATTATTGATGAATTGAAGAAATGAAATTGCAAGTCGTCCTGGTTGATGTTCACTCTTCTACTCGTTATTAGTTAATTGAGTGTAAAATTAGGGGGATTGTTAGGACAGGCTTTGCTAAATTGATTATATCATTCAATCAATTTATTCTAGTATATAGTCGTTTTGACTCGGACTAAAATTTACTTCTGCCGATTTTTTCTATATTAAATAAATCAAATTTATATGACCTGATGATGATGATTTAAATTCCGGGGAAAAGATAGCCCACTCAAATTTTTTCTTAAAAGAGCGTTGATCATTGGTATTACATTTTGTTTATAATTCTAAGTCTATTTTGCTAAAATTGGAACACCCTGTCTCCATTAGGTGTTAATAAAAAATAATTTATGAGAATCAATAAATAATACTCGATTTGGGGTATAACAAAAAGATAACACACTTGTTATTTATTTCCAAATAAAAACAAATCCCAACAAGACGAATCCAGTTCTGTTTCTGCTTCCATCGTGATAACATTTACCTTTGCGATGGGAGGAGTAAAATGTTTAATATCAATTGATTAAGGTTTTTTAGTTGAGATAAAAAAGTCAATGGCACGAGCGGGATTCGAACCCACTATCTTCGGCTAGATACGCCGCTGCTCTACCACTTGAGCTATCGTGACCTCGATCCACTCGGACATTAACTTCACATCTCAACCCCACCTTTTGAATTTTCCCTCGTGTTTGCCATTTAATATCAGTTGAGAAAAATTCAGTCAAGGAAAATTTTTGATATCTCAAAAAATACTGGTAGTTGTAGAAAAGTGATTTTAAGCTTTTCGAAATCTCCAGAAAGCTATGGGACAAAGAAATCTTGATGGTTCTGTTGGTTGGGCTGACTATTATCTATATCTACGACCAACAGAAAGAAGAAAAAGCGTTTTCTAAGAGGCAAATGGGAGGAGGCAGCCAGGCCCCCCAGGCGATGGGTGGCATTGGCTATGATCACAAAACTAACATACTGTTAATTTCTGGCCGAAAGGGCAGTCAAGATTATGTAAAATTGGCAGAAAATCATTTTAAAAAGTACTTTAAATTGGTTCTCAAAGAAAACGTAATCTTCCAGCAGGATAATGCGCCAGTACACACGGCAAAAGTTGCAAGATAATGTGTAAGGAAAGAAAATTTTAGACCCCCTATTAAAAATATCTGGGAATACCTTGCCAGGAGTGTTTCCAGTAGTAGCCAACAGTTTCAAGAAGTTGATGAATGAAGAAAAGCAATTTAGGAAGAGTGGACCAAATTCCCTCAAGAATTGATTCGCCGCCATTTTGATTACCTTTCCAAACGTATGATTGATGCATTGGAAACGATGATGTGTACACAGGATATCAATTATTTTTTATTATTTTGAAAGTGTTTTAATAAAGAATTTAATTATTATTATTATTGTTAATTAATTATACTTTTAATTTGAGATCTTGGTTGAGATGAAAAAGCAAGTGACACGAGTAGGATTAGAACCCATGACCTTCGGCTGAATACGCTTCTGCTCTAAACACTTCGATAGTGACTAAACTACCTCCTCATCTCAACCTACAACCTTTCGAATTTTATTCGATCGAAGCCGAAGGTCGTGGGTTCGAATCCCGCTCGTGACCCTTGCTTTTTCATCTCAAGCAAGACCTTAGATTAAAGTATAATTAAATTATATAATTATTACGTCAATTATGACTACTAAATATATTGGGTTGTCCGGAAAATAATGCAGGATTTTGGTATTAAACAAAAAAAAAGAAACTAGTTACTTTAAGCAATGTTCTTTAATCAAAATAATTTCCCATACTCTCAATACATTTCTCCCAACGTGTTGGTAACTTATTAATTCCGTCTGAGTAGAATTCAGAATTTTTAGAATTGATAAAGTCAATAAATGCATTTTCCAGTTCCGTTTGATTTTTGAATATTATGTGTTGTAAGTAGTGGTCCAGGTGTCTAAAAAAATGGTAGTCAGTAGGCGAGAGGTCCGGAGAGTAGGGTGGGTGAGGCAAAGTTTCATAGCCAAGCTCCAATAATTTTTGTGACGTTACACGTGACACATGTGGTCGAGCGTTGTCATGCAACAAAATGGGCCCTTTCCGATTGACCAAAGAGGGCTTCATTACTGCCAATTTCTGATGCATGGTATTAATTTGGTTACAGTATGATTCAGCATTGATGGTTTCGCCAGGATTTAAGAAGCTGTAGTGTATTAAACCAAATGAAGCCCACCATACCGTAACCATTACCTTTTTTTGATGAGTTGGGGGCTTTGGAAAATGTATTGGAGCTTCTCCTTTGTCGAGCCACTGTCCAGAACGTCTAGTGTTATCGTAGAGAATCCACTTTTCGTCACATGTAACAATTCTGGCCAGAAATGGGTCATTTTTGTTTCGACAAAGAAGTGATGCACAAACATCAAAGCGCTGATTTTTTGGCGATCGTTTAATGAGTGTGGAACCCAATTTTCGAGTTTTTTCACTTTTCCAATCGCCTTGAGGTGGTCAGCGACGGTCGTTTTACTGACTTTGAGTTGCTCTGCAAGTTCTCAAACAGTTGTTTTGGGGTTTTCTTCCACCACTGATCGCAGAACATCATCATTAAGAGAGGAAGGCCTTCCACGACCTTCTTCATCTTCAAGGCTGAAATCTCCCTCCCGAAATTTTTTAAACCACCTTTGCACAGTGCACTCATTAACACAACCCTCGCCCCAGACTTGGTTAATGTTTCTAGCCGTTTGGGCTCCGCTTCGGCCGAGTTTAAACTCGTAAAAGAAAATCGTACGAAATTCTCGCTTTGACATTATAAGGATGACTGAATTATTTCCAAGTAGCGGAATGCTACAGAGGTAAACAAACAATATCATTTGGAAGAGGATTAATAAGTGTTGACATTCATACAAATGAGTAATCCTGTAAACGTAAACAGAATATTTTATATAGATTTTTTTTAATGAAAACTTAAAATCCTGCATTATTTTCCGGACAACCCGATATATGTGGATTATTATTTTAAACTGTGCTAACTTTACGACCCACTCCAAATTGCATAGTATTGTTATTGATTCTTTGAAATTATTTTCCATTAACACCTAATGGATATATGTTCAAACATCACCAAAATAAACTAGGAATTAAAAAGAATAATATTACCTACGGTTAAAAATTGTTTAACAGGGAAAAATTTGATTGGGCCATCTTTTTGTCCCGGACCTTATATGGAGGGGGGTTAAAAGATTTTTTTAAATTAGTAAAGTGAAACAATATATGATTTTTTTTATTAGCTTAATAGTACGGCAGGATTGTTACCGGGCCGAAGGGGAGGACGAGATAGAAGCTAATCAACAAACATCCCCAACTGGGGGTTGATTACGGATTCAATGTTGCTCTCACAAACCTGCCCCTAGACTTCTTCAACACCCTTTATCTACCTCCCTTGCATTACATTAACCGTTAATTATTCAATGCTGATTCTAATAACAGCCCCATCGGCGATAACCTCCACCGTATCGATCCCAGAGGTAATTGATTTCAATTAGCCATAATTAATCGGAACCAATTTGAAATGAAGGGTGGGGGTGAAACGGAATTTAATCTGCTATCGGTTAATTTCCTCGGTATTTGGTGGTAGACAAAAGTTCTTAGGGAAAAAGGGAAACAATGGATCCAAGCCTCCTTTGATTTTTCTAGAAAGGCGCCAATAATATTCAAATTCGCGGAGAGTCAGCTAAGAGTTTATGGTGAACAACTTTCATTCCTCTTAGTTATTATTTGAACAAAACTGGGACGATGGTTAGTAGGTAAAGTAGTGCAATTTTCGTACCTAGGCTTTTTTTGGCTTTAGTTTGACGAGCGACAGAACAATTAATTCGGCGTGATTTATGGAGGGGCACCCACCGGAAAAATGGAAGACGTCCTACGCTATCGGCCAGGGCCTACATCTCCATCTACAACGATTCTGTATAATAATGACGATTTTTCTCTACTTGTCACCATT